AAAAAAGTCAAATCTAATTTCAATCATTCTGTTTAAAGCATACCAACAAATGGTACTAAGGTACTGGCAGGTAAAACGCAAATGCCACATTAAAAACATTCGTTAAAAAAATATGCATAACTTTAGATTTAAAAAAAAAGCCATATTGGGCTCAGTTTAAAGAAAAAAAACTTAATATATCAAAAACTAAGTATTAGACCCAAACTAAAAAAATATATGAAGAGAATACATTAATTAGTAAATACAAATTATTTTTAATATAAAAAAGCCACATTATTTTAAAAGTTTGGGTTACGATAAGGATAAAAATAATTATCCAAAATGCTCATATCTCTACTTATTTAAAGTTATAAAAAGAACCTTAATTTTGCCATTGTAAAATAATAAAATCTTCGGGTTATAAAATAATAAAAATAAAAAACATTTGCATAATTTCTGAAATACTTAATTTTGCATATTTATAGTGAGTAAAAAAGACTATTAGTTTTGTATTTTGCACAAAAACTTTGTATTTCTAAATAATATAGATATACTTTACTTCGTAATAGTACAAATCTGCTAGTATGAACGATTATAAAGACCATGACAATAATAATTATAAAAGTGATAATTATATTGAAGACCACGAAGTCAACTATAAGGATTATGAGAATTATGATAACTATGAAGACTGCGAAATTTATGAAGACTATGAAGACTATGAAAACTATGAGAACTATGAGAACTATGAGAACTACGAGAACTACGAGAACTATGAGAACTACCAAGATCATGAAAACTCTGTAGATCACGAAAACCATAAAGACAATAATATAAATATAATAAATCCTAGTAACTCTACCTCTACATCACTTGCGCAAAGTTCATCTACTACAACTAATTTACCTGTTGTATCAAAATATGATAAAGATTTTTTCTTTTTAACAGAACAACAAAAAGCACAATGTAAATACTGTAAAATGATGCTTAGTTTTAAAAAAGAAAATGGAACTTCTCATCTTAAACGTCATCTTAGTACTTGCCGGAGCTATCTAAAATTATTAGCTAATGAAGCTAGTTTGGCAAAACTAACAAAAGGTCAAACTCAGTTAAAATTTAATTTTTTAAATGAACAACCAAATTTAAAAGACTCAACTCGAACGGATATAGCTAATATGATAATTCGGGATGAATTAATTTTTCAATTTGTTGAAGGTCAAGGTTTTCATAATTTTATTTATAGATTATTATCTAATTTTACTATTAGTGCTGATACAATAAAACAAGATATTATGAAGACCTATGATAAAAGAAAGCTTTTAATTAAAGAAATTCTTCTGAATTCTAAAGGCAAAATCTCTCTTACTTGCGATCTTTGGACATCATCTCAGCAGCTTGGATATATAGCAATTACGGCACACTTTCTCAATATCAATTGGAATCTTATTTCTATATTAATTTCTTTTAGGCTAATTCCTTTTCCCCACTTTGGAATAAATATTGCTAATTCTATTAAAGATGAAACAGATAAATATTGTATCACTAATAAGGTAATTTAATTTGATATTTTGTTCTGTTATATTATAAAAATAAAATTTAGTTTCAGAATTATATCTTTACGATTACTGTACCGCACTGCCTTTAGTACCCAGTTTTATTTTTAAAAAAAAGGTATTATATATAGCAATATATCTATGGATACTTAATGAAGAGTGGGTGCAGAAGCTAAAAGTTACTGTGATATAATTATATTATGCTTTAATAATTTTCAATTAAATCTTAATATTCGGATCTTATACAATTTTTTCGAAACTTTTTTCTGTAATATATCCAAGTATTATTTGAAGAAGGTATTAAATAGGGGTACTAAGGCAGTGCTGTATGGTAGTTTTAATATCTAATAATAATTAATGAGCTACTAATTAGTAATCGGTTCATATAATTATAGTTACAAGCTATTACTCTTGATAATGCAACTTCAAATAATGTTGCAATAAATGAGCTAGTTA